TTTATTTTCTTAATTTTAAACATTGAAAACGCGAATATAATAAGATAAATTTAACTTTTAAATAGCAAGGAATCGTTGCAAATAGGGATGCAACGATACTTATACGATAATCGTATTTCGGCGATTATCGTAAGTTTTTTTACGATCATTTAGTATCGTAAACATTTCGATACGATATATACGGTTCTTTTTTTTCCAATATTTCTACATTTTTACAGAAGTTTCTACAGTTTCAAGTGAAACGAAACGCATAACGCAATTATGTCAGCACACACCTATCCCTTTTGTTTGACATTGACGACTTTATCGCAGAAAAGGAGATGTTTCTTATTTGTATGGGACCTGGGCTGGGTCTTGTACTTATTATACAAATAAAAAAAAATCAAGAACATAGTCTACTCTGACCATTAAATTTTCCATATTTTGCTTCATTTTGCGGTACAGATTTTTTAAAAATTATTTTTGACATTCAAAATCTACAACAGCGAACATAGTTGTCAACGTCAGTTCGGCGTATATCAAATCTAGAAAACCCTAAGAGAAAACCTAACGTCACTATGTTCAACAATCTAGAAGCTCCCATCGTTGATTGTGAAAGACTCCCTATGTTTAATAGAAGCTATGAAGTCTTATGTTTCAAACCATTAATCGCATACGACATTGGTATCTCGAAAAGTTCACCTCACGCAGAACTTATTTTTACGACCAAGATAAACGAACGGTGGGCAGGGTTTCAAAGGTTCTTCACAGATGCATCAAAACTTTCGGATACAGGTTATACTGGGGCAGCTGTCTACTACCAAGATTCGCAAATAATTTTTAAACTTAAATGCCCAATAGAATCCTCTGTGTTTACGGGCGAGTGCGTAGCGATATTAGAGGCTTGCCAGTTCATAGATACGCACAACATAGAAAAGGCAGTAATTTTCACCGACTCGCTGAGCAGCTTGCAAGCTCTAGAACAACATCCATTACAAAGCAAGTTAAATAGCTCTATAATCTTAAGCATCAAACAGTCCCTCTTTAAATCTGCCAATAAGGGTAAAATCATACAGCTCGTTTGGATCCCAAGCAACGATTGTGCTGATATTTCTGCCAAAAGTGCGGTTTCATCGGAAGTCGCAGACAGGAAATATTTTTGCCTCCAAACTTACGACCTCATAAACCTGCCTAAAAAGGAATTGCTGACTTCTTGGCATAACTCGGGGAAAAAGAAAGGCAAATTCTATTACGCTATCCAACCGATCGTAAATATTAGACCCTGGTTCTTCAAATATAAGAAATCGTGCAAAACTGCCGTATCAGTCCTATGCCGTATACGCATAGGACATTGTTGTTCGCCCACTTTCCTACATAAAATTCGTGTTCGGGACTCTTCTCTTTGCGAATGTGGCTTAGACGAAGGTACCGTGGAACACATTTTCTTCAGTTGTTCCAAAAATCTTCCTGCTCTTGACTTATACCACCGTCTCGCAGAGTTAAAAATCCCGCTCCCGATCAACATGGCTTCCCTTCTCACCTATTTTACTCCTAAACTTACCAGGACATTGTTGACTTTTATCCATTGTAACTCCATAAAAGTATGACAAATTTAATTAATCATATACATGTATACTGTAGTATAACGCAATGCAATTAAATGTTCTAACGCTTAATATATATAAGAGCTTATCTTACAGATTAGTTTTGTCTTTGTTTCAGCATACTAACCTATTGTCCAAGAAGGATAAACACATCCAGTTTCAATGTCATCGCTGGATAAACTATAGATTTCTATTACAGGTTTCTGAACAAATTGACCAAACACACGTTTGGCCATCACTTCTGATATTGGCAGAATTGTCGACATTGGCATCGACACAATTGCCATTAAAAAGAATAGAATAGAATAGAACCTAACGTCACTGACATTCATGTGTCAGCTAGTGTCAACAGTTCAGAAATACAATAACAGCACAGTACTCATTTAAATATTTCTAAGTACCCTTTTACCTAATCAAGAAATAAAAAATATTACCCCATAATATTTTTTGAGCTACTATTTGTTTGTTCAGGTTTTTTGAGTATTATTTCGTTTTCTTATGTTTTTTTAATACATTACCTTTTTGAACTTACTATGTTTCCATTACTAATATTACCACAGAATTAATAATAACATCGGCAAAACTGCCGCATTATTCTTCATTGTACCAATGAATTAGGTCAAGAAACTGTTTTTTTTTGTTCTGGAAATGCTTATTGTTTACCCTATTTTTTAGGAATGTGTACATAGACCAGAACGAAAATGAAACATCCCCTTTAACAAATAAATTAAAAATGGGATTTTTACTATGTCTAATATTGATATCAAATAATAATATCAAACAAAGTGATACAAACAAAGCTTCAAATAAATTCAATAAAATACTTTAAAACTAAATCGTAATGAATTCGTTTGTCGCCACTACGATGTATTCGTCATTCGTATTGGTATCATATGGCCGTATTGTTGCAACTTTAGTTGTAACAAAAAGAAACGAAAAAAATGCTCAGGTTTTCGAAAAAAAGCGTTACTTTAGGGGCTGGAAATGGGCGACAAAGAACGTATTTTTTCAATGTTTATATCTATAACTAGTGTTAAAACTTGTGTTATAGAAGAAAACCCATCGTATGCAGTCAGTCGCACTTGATCATTTTTTATTTCCTACACGAGTGAGTTGAACGTAATGTAGTAAGTAACAGACATAATTTACGGCTGTTTCGGTAAACACCTAAGCTATTGTGTATTTTTTAAACTGAAGTGAATCACATTGGAATTTGGACCGGCTGTTTTATTATCTATAATTTTATACTTTGACCTTTACATTGTGTTTAGTTAAAAGAAGAACTATTGTGGGAGTGAGTATTCGCTGTATAGCCGATATCCGGTAAAACGGTGCATGAATGACAATTTTAATTTAATTGTTTAATTATTATATGGGAGTCTTTCTATTCTATATATGAATGACTGTTATATAGTCTTGAAAAATTGGACAGGACAAGGTTTGAATTATATTTTTTTTGGTAACATCAGAAATCAAGAAGACATTAGATATTTGGTATAGTATTTTGTATTAAAATCCTAATATTCTAACTTAAGAAAACAGGGATCTTACGGGGTAAAAGAAATTCCATTTAGTCCGTCAGTTATATTATCATAAAATAATGAAGACTTATTTATTCTTTTGTCAATCAACCAAACATTACAAAAAGAAAGCACGTCAATGTTTGGGAGCTCTTGACGTCTCTTCTAATTAAAAATGGTCTCAAGATGTGACGTCATGCGACATTTCAAATCAATATATCTCTGCAATGATTTGATTATGTGAATAAATTTAAAGTACGTGTCCTGTACTTTTTGTTATTCTACGTGATGGATGAAGAAAAAAAAAGATAGTCCTAATCCTTATTTTTTTATGCATAATAGGCAATGCTTCATCATCATCATCATCATCAACAGCCTATCTTAGTCCACAGCAGGCCTCTCCAAATGCACGCCACTCAGATCGATCTTGGGCATTGCGTTTGATCACATTCTCGCCTGATGGAAAGCGATGGAATATAACATCTGGTTAAAGTCGTTAATAGTTTATTAATTAAAAAACATATTTCTATGTTCTTTGGGGTTAGTGATTTACCATTCACGGGTATACCCAAACTTTCCTGTTTCAGGTAGTATAGGCTGTACCTACGCGAAAAATATCTAGGTGTCAAGCTACGAAATCAAGCGATTTTTGATAAATATTGGAAAACCATATTTACAAACAAATATTGTGGGAGTTTAGACTAGAAAGGAGTCAATATACTTAGTTTTAGATGTGTCAGAAAAAAACAGCTTTCTATGTATCATCTTCTGTTATGAATTTAATAGACATATTTAATTAGGTAGGGAAATACGTTTATAATTTAAACACTCACCGCAAAATCAGATTTTTGTTATTCTCTCCTCTCAATTTTATGTTGGAAAATTATTCAAACCTACATTTCCCTATCCAGAAGAAGAACCATAAATAAAAAGAGAATACCTCTTTTCCCTATGCACTGAAAATGGGAAAATCCATCCAGCAAAGATGAGAAAGGAAGTGAAGCGTGGTTAACGATTAACAGGAAACATATTTATCGATGCTTGCCAACGTACTTATCAGAGGAAGATTGAATTGTATGTGTCATCATTATTATTATTTAATAACGAGCTAGTTATAATTTATAAAACAAGCCATTGTCTAGGATACTGTTTACAATCAACATCATTATGAGATCATTGCGTCTTACAGAAAATTATTGTTAATTTTTATGATGAAACCTATAAATTAACATATAATAAAATACTAAATTTTTACGTTTACAAAAATTTGCTGCCTTGTTTTAAATTGTAGCAGGATGTTATTTACAAACTTATAAGTAAGTCTACAATGTTTCGAAACATTTTTTTATAAATTTTCAACAAACCGTAAAAAATATTTATTACATTCTAATAAATAAAATAAAAATAAATGTTTTGAATACTACAATCTCTATGTTTTTATGTACTTCAAGGATTTTTGTAGCAATATAGCAAGAATAAATTAATATTTCATGGAAATATCACGGACATATTAAAAAAATGTATTTTTAATGTAAAATTTGCTGTTCTCTGAAAATTTTACTTTCAATCGCCGATTTAGTTTGAACTTGAATTGATGTGACTAGGTATTTTGTTTGAAATATCGCGTACCCGACACATGATTTCCGATTCACTTTTAAACGGCTAAACAACCGTGAACGACGGTTTTATACGTAAAGTAAACTGGTAAAATCCAAATAGTCATACAATTTAACATGTTCAATGAAAATAATTTCTATCAGTTAGTTCACAGTTGGGTTGCAATAGCACAGACTAAGTTTACGCGCGCATTTTTCTTTTTTCAAATGTTCACTTCACTGTTTTTGGCAACAAAGTTTTTTTTTAATTGCTAGCACTAAATTATCACAAATCGACATACCGACGCCTGCAATGACATATTGCCGCCACAGCTGACCCGCCTCCATTCTGTACGCTTGTTGGTTGACTGGCGCGCCGGTACCAACCGGGTCGTAAGCGTAGCTCGTATCGTCCATACGTCACGTGACGTCACGTTGTGTACGTAGCGTACTGAGGGTGATGTAGGTGAGATGGGATTCTTGGCAACTTGACGACACGGTACGTCCAAATCTGGAACAAAATACATGTTTACGTTACAATGGAAATTTGAAATTCATCACTTCGTAGATCTATATTACATCACATCAATAACATAACATTGTCCGACATTTGTCCTAAGTAAGAAAATTAAACCCTTAAATTAAACTGTACGTTGTTTCCTTAGTTAAATAGTGCTAAGTAATTATTGTAAGTAGTCCAGAAAGTATTTCTTTTTATATTTTTCATAGGTTATGAGCATTAAAACACGTTTTTTTCCTGTTGTAGCCATGTTCATAAGTTATATCTGATTTCGGAAAAAAATATGTTTATCTACTTTCTTTGGGTTTAATTAGGCAATTGACTTATGGTTTTGTTCAATATTTATTATATCGAATAGGGTTCTTTTTTAATTTGTAAAAGTTTTCAGACGCCTTCACATAAATAGAATTCCCTCTGTAATAAGAGAAAAAAGTATCTTTAAAAAGTATTTTTAAATGTAATTTACTGTATCAACTTGTTTGGTATCTTTGGATCTAGTTATTGAATTTCGTAAATAACCTTATTTCACTTGTAAATGAAACAAGTGAATTATATGAACAGTCACAGACAGAAACAAGTATTTGTATTTAAATAAATTTACATGTTATAAGTAAAATAACAATAGTATTAGCAATTCGTGGAGTCAGTTGAGTATACTGTACCTAATGCATAAAAAATAACAAGGTTAGCTAAAAATGGCTTCATTTATTTTTGTCATATGGTTTTTATAAGGTTAAGTCAGTTGTCATATTTTCAGAGGGCACAGCGTTAGTCCTCTTTTTTAATGCAAAAAATGACTAGCAAAAGCGTTCATTTATATAAGCAGCAGCCAATAAATAATAAGTCTATCATAATCAGTTTTTGGTGTTCCGCACTCGAGGGGTGAAAGAAAACGTAGTTTTTTACGTACCTTAGCACGAACCAATATCGGATTCGAATAGTTGAATTCGATCTCAATGGAAATTTGAACAGCGCCACACTGGACATTACGAGAATTTAAAAATACTAAATATATACTAAATTTCTTGAAATTTGAAGGCGAGATTATTTCGTTCGTTCTAAGGGTACTGAATGATTATGACTACTCCTGTGTCGGTTGTAGTGTATCTAATGAACATATAATGGTTGAGTTGAAAATTTTATGTATTGTCGCTCTAACAACAAGCAATAAGAAACAAAAGCGGCCATAATAAATGTGATACTTGTACAACGATTATTACTCGATTCTAAATTAATCTTGTAAAATACTACGGAACCTTTCCTCTGATTGTACTACTCGCAATCGTCAGGTTATTCAATATTTGGTACAGGTTTCTGTTAAACTGTAGATACTTTCAAAAAAAGTACCTAAGTAGCTGATCAACAATATTTTATTGATTTGATTGCAATTATCTAATTAAATCCTCGAGATTAATCTTACTAATTAAAAGTTATCAATGATAAGATTTCATAATGAAATATTAATTATTTTATTATCTAATAGGTCACGTGTAAGTATAAGGATGAGTACCTACATAATTATTCGTCGTATTCTATTCACAGTTTTTTTATTACAAGAAATAAAACTATAGTATTATATAATAAAAATATTATATTATTATTGCTAAGCCACCTTTTTCCATTATTTGCCAGTCTATTAGCAGAGGGCCTACTACAAAAATAAAAAGTTTATGCCTTGAGGAATTAAAAACATGGTTGGCCTTCATTGGCTCTCATACGATTTTCGATTATAATCCTATATTGCTAGACTAACTAGTCTAGATATATATATTATATACACTACTATTAATGACAAGACTCATCTTGTAAAAATGTTTGTTTACTTTAAAATTACATTATTTTTATGATTTCAATTACTTTTTGACAGTGCGAAACTTCGTCGACGAATGTTCAGATTAGGCTCCCAGGTGTGCCAACCGTGCCAACGCAAAAGCCGCCACGTATTATTTGCACGGTGTGAGGTTTGTGTAAATATAATAACCATTTGCGCCCAGGTGCTTCTTCAAATAAAACATCACTTTAATAAGTAATTAACCAGTGATAAAGCTGATAATTAATATAAGACTTAAAGGTCAGAATACATTAAAAAGAAAGTAAAATGTATACCGAAGTATTAACATAAGTATATTTTGCTGATCATCATCATTCCTAGTTGTACGCTTTGGGTTACTTCCCAGGCTGTAACACTAAAGACGACCGAGAATGGGAAGATGAGATATCCGCGGTTCCGGATTTAGCTGACTGGACAACTGCACGCAAAATCATCAAAATCAACACATTAACATGGGCCATTAAAAGCTTCCTCCCTTTTAAAGCAGCTGGACTGGATGGCATCTTTCCGGGCCTACTGCAATGGTGCGAAGAATCAATACTCGAGCATCTACTGCGAATCTACACAGGAAGTCTTGCCTATCGGTGCATACCCACCAAGTGGAGGTTAAAGTTATATTCATACCCAAACCAGGAAAAAGTGACTACAATCAACCTAAAGCATTTAGACCGATAAGTTTCATGTCATTCCTCCTTAAGGTGCTGGAGAGAATGTGTGACAGGAACTAGACGAATGATGTTCTAAAGCGTGTACCACTTCATGCAAATCAATACGCCTACAGCATGGGCAAATCCACCGAATCTGCATTACACAACGTAGTCAGACAAATAGAACGTGGAATATCACCAAAACAATCAACGCTCGGAGTCTTCATTGACATTGAAGGCGCCTTTGATAAAACAAACTTTACCAGCATCAGCCAAGCACTTGTCAGACATGGAGTTGATCCCACAACTGCGGAGTGGATCAACAACATGCTAAAATACAGAGCAATACAAGTGACTGTGAGCACTACGAAGAGAGCTGTAGTGGCACGGGGTTGCCCACAGGGAGGCGTTTTATCCCCGCTCCTGTGGAACATTGTGGTGGATGAACTACTACACAGTTGACTATGCGGACGACCTAGTTATCTTCATAAGCGAGCCATTCCAGAATGTGCTGTGCAACTTAATGAGTAACACTCTCAAGATAGTCGAAACCTGGTATACTAAACACCAACTATCGGTAAATCCGACCAAAACAGAGATGACCATGTTCACGAAAAAAACGTAACTTGGATACGGTTAAATTGCCCAAGTTATTTAATACCGAACTGTCTATGTCAAGCGAGGTCAGATATCTAGGCATAGTTCTTGATCATAAGCTAACATGGAACAGCCACTTAGACCAAAAGATAAACAAAGCCTGTATCACGTTTTGGCAATGCAAAAGACTGGTAAAACCTGGGGTCTTGCGCCAAAAATCACAAAATGGCTTTACACAACCATTAATCAGACCACTCATCACCTACGGTGCAATAGTTTGGTGGCCTAGAACCGAACTCAACACCGCAATTAATAAACTGCAGCGTTTTCAAAGACTAGCATGCTCTGTTATAACAGGCTGCATGAAATCCACACCCAAAAATGCCCTAGAATAGCGCTTGACCTCCCGCCACTCGACCTGTTTATACAAGAGGAAGCAACTATGGCAGCGCTAAGAATGTATCATCTAGGCTTGTGGACGAGAAACCAAGGACCCCACTCCAAAATTCTGGAAAGGGCTATCTATACAATACCAACCTCTGGTAACAGCCCGCTGTGATAAAATCCCGACTACTCTTACCTTTGATAGGAGATATCAAATAGAACTATTAGAAACCAACAAGGGCTGTTCGGGCACAGACGAACTACGCATTTACACTGATGGATTCAAAATACCAGGATTCGGATCAGGCGCAGGAGTCTTCTCACTAGACCTTAACATCCATATATTAACAGCACTGGGTAATCACAGCTCAATATTCCAATGCGAATGTATAGCCATTACTCAGGCCGCCACCGCTGTTATTAATAGGAAATTATGAAAAACTACAAGATATGTATATTATCTGATAGTATGGCTGTCCTAAGAGGCCTAGATAGTAACAGCAAAACTTCTGGGCTAGTATACGAATGTCACCTGGCATTGGAGTACAGAGCAACGGATAACAAGGTTATCCTCCAATGCATCAAGGGACATAGCGGTTCTGTGGGTAATGATGCAGCCGACGAACTAGCTAGAAGGGGATCATCACAGAGAGTGGAGGGCCCTGAGCCACTTCTGCCATTACCTTTCAATCAGTTTCATACTGGGTGCGGCAACGAACCACACAGAACCACAACACCCGTTGGGCTAATACCGGGGGCTGCAGGCAATCTAAGGATATTTTTCCCAGCCTCAACCTCAGACTAAATAGAAAACTACTAAATCTCAACCGAAGTGATCTCCGAGTTATGCTAGGCACCATAACAGGGCACTGCCTACTTAACAAGCATTTACTAACCATACGCGTTACAAATAGCTCTCTATGCAGAGGATGTCTGGAAGCAGATGAAACGGCCGCTCATGTGATCCTGGAATGCACGAACGTTGCAGAACACCGGGCATCAATTTGCTATAGGACATAATCGCCGTACTGTAGAATTACAGTTAACCGGATAAAGATAGATATTAATAACATGTTAAACAAGAACAACAGCCTATTCCCGTAATTCGGGCTCATGCTTTATACAGAGAATATATTGTAGTATTGTGAATTCAATAAAAACAATAGGGAGTAGCAGCCCTCCGCCTTTTTTTTCTGGTCCTCTGTTGTAAAATTTTTGCCCATCGCAAGGCTAAAGCATCGTGTTAATTGAATTGTGCTAATTCACGAAATGTATGTGGATTTTACGTTAGTTTGAAGATGCCAGCAATCAGATATTCACAGATTATAACCTAAGAGTCATCACAATCATATCAGCTTTCATGCCGCCACTACACTTGGCTGTTTGTGTTTGCTATTTGTAAACTTGACATCACTCTGTCCATTTCATTCCCGATAAAGCATGATAAGGACATACTGTAGTCAAGTATACAAATAACAAATACGAATAGCCAAGTGAAGTGCCGCTATCAAATTAATAAATCGCATCCAGTT